TGGCCGCTCATGCGGCCCGATGGGAAGGAGCGGGGCGGACTACGGGGATCGGCTATTTGGCCTGCACAAGCTTTTCCGGCAAACAAAAAGGAAAACAGAGGGGCCCCAGCACTTTGCGTTTCCGGAAATTTCCAGGGAAAACAGAGGGTGTTTGGTGCTCCATTCTGGAAACTCGCGAGTTTCCCTGAGTCTGAGAGCTGGTCTGGGGCAAAATCTGAGGCAAAATTGAGGAAATCGGCACGATACCCAGGCGGTCGCAGGGTATTTTCCAGGTATACCCGGGGGTTTCCAGGTATACCCGCAAAATCCCCGGTATTTTGCCGATTTGGCTGATTTTGGGCCCAAACCAGCCTCAGACTCGGCTCAGAGCCCGGAAAATTTGATGGTTTCCCCGGGAAAACAGAGAGGAAAAAAGAGGTGCTGTAGAGAAAAAAGGAAAGGAAAAGAGACGGGGTGCGAGAGAGAGGAAAAGCTTGTTCAGCCTAAATCGGCTTCTTACACAGCCCTTCCCTGCAGCGAGCCCCCCTCCAATCCACCCGCGCTAGGTCTCGGGGGACGCAGGGGTCACTCCCGCGAAACCCGGGAACTAGCCGGGGCAGTCGGAGAAGCAAGGGGCAACTCCGTGCACTGACGGTCGGCCGTCAGAAATTACGCCTGCGTGGATCGCGTCAGTGTGTGTGTGTGTGTGTGTGTGTGTGTGTGTGTGTGTGTGTGTGTGTGTGTGTGTGTGTGTGTGTGTGTGTGTGTGTGTGTGTGTGCCGTTCATGGAGGCAACCGATGCGAGTCGACTGGTGTGTGTGAGTGTGTCGTCGTGGTTTCTATCAAGAATACTTACATGTTCGGCCGAGAGCAAACATCTGAGAGAGAGATCAACAGACAATCAAACGCAGCGAACATGGGTGGCCTTGCCGTTCTAAGGCCAGAAAATTCCAACTGTCTCATCAAGCGCACGTGTCCGTAACCGAAAGCGGAATTCATCACCGATCAAAAAGCTTGCAATGCTGCCACTGCTCGCACTGGCCTCTTCGTTGGTGCTCCCGACGGTGCGCTCCCCGACGGCGCGCTCGCCGCTCGCGACATCGCGGGCGGCGTCGCCTTTGATGTCTGGCGAACCGACGTTCTACGCTGTGTATCACACGTTCAAGCCTCGGGCCGCCAAGGCGTGGTGGGCCAACATGAAGTCTCTCAATTTTAAGGATGTCGCCAAGGCGCAGCACGCGGCGGGCATCTTCGGCCACGCCTTCCTCCCCTCCGAGCCCGAGGGACCCATCCTCTGCCTGTGGGAGTGCAAAGAAAAGATGTCGCTGCAGGAGTTCGAAAATTTCATCGATGGCCCAAACAGCCCTGCTGGGGGCGCGCTCATCAACAAGGCTTTCAGGGTCCTCCCCTCTGGGCTCACGCCCCCATCCGCGTGGCCAACGCTGCCCAAGACTCCCGCCAGGTCAACGGGCAGCTTTTTCTGGGTGCACCACTCCTTTGTGGACCAGAATGCGCACAAGTCCTTCTGGGAGTTCGCTGACCAGGCCAACTGGGCCGACCTCGCCGCTAAGAATCGCGCCAACGGCGTCCACAACCATTGCTTCCTCCCGACCGGCACCTCGCACAAGGCCCCGACCGGCACCCCACAGCGACCGCTCGCGCGTCGGCCGACGCCCGTCTCTTCATGCCACAGGACGATATATTCTGCATCT